GTAGTGTGTGTGTGTGTGTGTGTGTGTGTGTGTGTGTGTGTGTGTGTGTGTGTGTGAATAGTTTAATTTATACTTATTTTCTTTTAATGTAATAAATAAATATATTTTATCATAAATTTCTTCTTAGCATTAAATTTCAATTTTTGGAAAGTAAGTGTTATAACAAGGATTTTTAATTTTACATAAAATACAATGTTTTAATACACATAACAATATACAACATTATACGTTATATACGTTATATACGTTATAAATTTTGTAAAAAGTATCATTTTTTTATAATTTGAATTTTAAATTTTTCATACAACGTTCCGATATGATAGAATATTTTTTAAAACAAAAATTGTATTTTATAAAAAACATAGAACAAGAATTGATTATTTGTTTTTTTATTTTTTTAAATGAATTGTATAATTATAAATTTATGCTATAAATTTTCTAAATACAAATGTGTAAAAAACTAAACATCGTAAATTTATATATATACATATACATATAGATATATACATATAGATTTGGATATAGATAGATATATTTAACATGTTAACAGGAGAGAAGAGGAACCTGTCGATTATCTGAGAAATTTAATCATCTGCTTGAAAGATACAGGACGCTTTATTGCGATCTATTGGAAAATTATTTTTGCAGTCGTCTGGCCGATGTTTCTTTTACCTTTTCTTTTGATTTATGATTGTTCGGTATTTTTCTCATATTTCTTACATTATTAGTTTTATAATTTAAAAATTCAAATTTTCTAGACGTTTTCAGAAAAATGATTAAAGTTTGTAAATTCTATTTTTAATTTTTTCGCAAAAATATATGTATTTTTTTTCATTTATTAATTTTTTATAAACTTTGAATATCAAGTCATCTTTATCAAAAAAGAAGAAAGAACAGAAAAAAAGAAAGGAAAAAAGATATAAATACTTTAAATAAATAGTTTAGCTTTTGATTATATGTCTGATGATTTTTGCAGGAAGTTAGATGTGCGTATGTGGTATTGATAATGGCTGGCTACTGGGTGACTGACTGTTTTCCCATGGCAGTAACAGCACTCATTCCAGTAGTCATGTTTCCGGCTTTGGGTGTACTCAGTACTATGGATGTAGCAACTTGTTATATGAATGACACAATAATGGTATTCCTCGGTGGTCTAATTCTTGCCATATCTATTGAGCATAGTAATCTCCATCTTAGACTCGCTCTTGGAGTTATGAGGACAGTCGGCTGCAGTCATGCAAATTTACTTGGTGGTTTTTGTGTAGTCACAACCTTTATATCTATGTGGATAACAAATACTGCAGCTACTGCCCTGATGATACCAATAATATTTGCAGTTTTGCGCGAGTTAGAACAGGTATAAATTAGTACTTTTTTTAGTTTAGTATTTGATAGCATTATATTATAATTTCATTATAACATACATTATTCAACAAAAAATAGAGAACTTTTAAAAATACTCAAAATTGTATAATTTTCAGCTCGCTGGAAATTTTTGAAAAATTATGATTAATAACATAAAAGTTATATATTATTAATTATAAAGAATTAAAAAAGCATTTCAGCTTGCAATTTTTATTTTAATATTCTTTCAGTCATTTTTTCGAAAATTTTTTATCTTTTTGAAAAATGTACATATAAATATATTACAATTCCTAAAATACGATCTTTTGTTCCTTAAATTATATACATTCAATGTTCTGCAAATTGATAAAATTTTTCTCAAAAAAATTACACGAAAAGGTACAGAATTGTTTACAAAATGCATTTTTAAAAATTTTCTTTTTATAATTTTAAAACTAACTTTGCCAGATTCTTTTGTTTAATGTGTGCAAAAACGCACTGAAGTATTTAAACATAATTTTATCGGTTTCCGTGCTAAACTGAATAATTATCAAGTGATAATTATATATTTTCAATTATAGTAACAATTTATATTGAATTGAAGATTAAAATTATAATTTCATTTATTGCTATATATTATATATGTTCCATAGGCTGGATTAGGTGCAATCTTTAAGACAATCGATGTGGGACCAGGTTCGCCGCCGTAAGTAAAGTAATATAAGAAAATACAAATATAATTACTAATAATACTTTATTACCAATACAATAATTAATATCGTAAGGACAATTTATGCTTATATTAATTTAATATTTGCTAGATAGCATTGTGAGCAACCCGCGAATACTTTTGTTTTCATGGAAAGTGTTACTGCATTTTTTCCACTCTCTTGTGTATATAATATTCGCATTACTTTTTTTTGTGTGTGTGAAATTAATTCACTTCTACTCCAACAAATTCTACATCTATTCATTCTACATCATTCTACATCTATTCATTCTCAGTTAATATAAGCAATCGAAATGATTGAGAGCATTAATTAATAGCATTAATTTTTGTAATGTATAAACATTAAATGAACATTAAAAATATAAAATTTAATTTTTTGAATAAAAACTTCTGGCAGATATAGAAAATAACAGATTTCTAAAATTACATTTTTCTAATGATTCATTTATATTTGATGCACTAACATATAACCGTTCTTTTTCAGCGAGATAAGACCAACAAAAATAACAAGAGCATATTTGTTAGTAGCGGCTTACTGTTCGTCAATTGGCGGTACGGGAACGTTAGTAGGAACTGGTACAAATCTAACTTTCAAAGGAATCTATGAAAGTATATTTCCTGACGCTGAGCCAATTATTTTTACCGACTGGATGGTAGCATCTCTTCCTCAAATGATTGTCAATTCCTTCCTCACTTGGTTATACGTGCGAATTGCTTTTCTGGGATTTCTAAGACCGCGCAGTAAAGACGCTCAAGTGGCTAGAATTGGAAGAGAAGGTGAAGCCGTCGCAATGGAAGTAAGATTATATATACATAATCGATTAATCTCAATTATCCAAAAGAAATTATTTTCTTCATTTTTTAAAAAATTATTTATGCAAATGATATTATTCTTTGCAACATTTTAAAATTAAACAATAAATATTTATTATTGATCAAATATTTTGCTTTAAATAAATGTATAAAAACTTAGAAGAAATAAATAAAAACTTTTAAGATTTAAACAATAAATGAAAAATAATAATATGCCTAATAAGAATTAATATTATCAATAATATGCAATGTAATATTTTTTGTGATACATTTTTCTCTATTTGTATATAGTAAACTACGTATCGATTATATTATTTATCAATCATGAAACATAGTTACAAGACAAAGCTAAAATTATAATGTAATATATAATTATGATAATACTATGATTATTAATTAATAATCAATTTTAATATTATTAACATTAATAAACATAATCTTAGACGTTTGTAAATAATTTGTTGTGAAAAATGTCACCTCGATTTGAATAAATTATTAATGTCAGTAATATTAAAATGGATTATCAATCAATATAGATGCAGAATTTTATAGATTTTTGAAATAATAATATTAAAATTAGCGATATTAAAATTGATGATTTATCTATTAAATATATTATGATTTTAGCTTTAACTTACATTTATACATTCAAAATCGAAATAATTGGAGTTTAATTTGTTGGACAAAGAAAAATATCACAAGAAAGTACTACGTTGCACGCTATTAACAGCGCTGGATTGTATTTGACATTTATATACTTTTACTTTGTTCTATATCTTTTTGCATATGATAATTTAGGTTATACAACAGAGATATAAAAATTTGGGCCCTATAAGTTGTCACGAGACAGGAGTGGCGACATTATTTATCTTGTGCGTATTTCTTTGGTTATTTCGCAAACCAGGCTTTATCCGTGGATGGTCGGAATTACTCACTGATGTGTTAGTATTTTAATTTTATTATACATTATAATACACAATATATTGTACATTATAATAAAATTTATATATATATATAT